TGCATTGTATTTAAAGACTTTAATGCATTTTATGTAAGTCATTTACATATAAAGGTATATTACTTCCTTAGGACAAAACCTACAAAAAAATAAAGGATATAATGCAGAGTGTACCAAAGCGATTTCAGCTGAGGATCTTCATTTCCAGCTAGGAGGTGATTTCTCCAAACTTGTTCAGTATCAAGACCATACCTTGACAGAGCTCTGAGGCGCATTTTGGTTGCTATGTCTTTTTCCAAGGAACTAGCCTTTCCTTCTTCTGTACACTCATACAAATGTCGTCCACAAGCCCACATTAAGGATGTCACCGGGCTCCACGCGAGTGAAATTCTTTCAAAAACAGTGAAGTCAGACATAGTCCTGTTAGGAGTCACTACTACCATTCGATTTTGACTTGTGGGATGCCAGGCAAATGAAGCAATGTAATTATCACATGGTTGGACACTTCTTTCAATTATTGTCGGCTCAGTTTCATCTCCAATAGGGGTGGGAGTATGCTGCATATCATACAGTCTAATAATATTACTATCCCTTGTTAAAGTAGCCAACAGTCCAGTCCTTGTTGGACACCATGCAACTTTTGTTAAGGGTTTTGGTTGCTCTGTCAGGGTCAAAACAGGCTTTTCAAACTTTCTTAAATCCCATATGGCAACCTGGCCTTCATAGAAGGAAGCGACACGATCGTGGAAATAGGGATCAACAGTCACTCCTTGGACAGCCTTGGTGTTAACAAATATTTTTTGGCTTGTGTTCCTAAGATCAAAGATAGCCAGATTTCGATGCATTCCAGCTAACAGCAGCTTCTGATCCCGTGGAAGCCAACAGAGAGAGAGACAAGCATCATTCTGTCCTAATTCATATAGTGGTTTTGTTACTACCAGGCCTGCTTCCGCATCTCCTGCTGAAAGCCTTACTTTCTCTGTAGCAACTGCAGTCTCTGGGGCATATTTGCTGCTGATATCCCAGATCAGTACTGAAAAGTCAGCCCGATGTTTATCTAACCCAGCAGCAAGCCAATTGCTATCCAGTGGGTTCCATGCCAGGGTGTTGCATTGCCGAGCGTGTTTGGGAACAAACTCTTTGCCTATCAAATCTTTAGATTTTGAGTTGTGATCTTGCCCAAGGCTGGTAAGTACCACTCGGCCATTGGCCTGTCCAACAGCAAGGAGACATTCAGGATCATACTTGGGATACCAAGCCACACATTTCATGTACGGTGTATCCGAATTTATTGACAGCAGTGTAGCCGTAGTTTCCTCTGACAACCGCAAGGACCCCGCCTTGAGTTCTGAACTTACAGCAGAGTCAATGTGATACAGGCTCAGCTCTGAATCACACACAACAAATCTGTCAACGTGGTGTGGTGCCCACAGGATATCAGGTTTGGAGCCACTCATGGCTAGGGTAAAGTTGACACACAATTTAAGCTCTGCTAAGAAGATTCAGGTGATATCCATGCATACGGAAACTGTTGAGAAAACAATTTGTAGGAACGTCATCGAAACCAAAGTTCTTTTTCAATCTGAAATCATCATTATACAAACAAAACCGAATTACTTTTAGCCCAAGAGTTTAACTCATAACACATTTCAGGCCAAATTAATTAATATGCATTAAAATTAAGCATTCTCCTCACAGCACGTGTTTTTTTTGCTGGTATGTATGAACTGAGACAGAACCAACATGCCCACCTACAAACTGATGACAACAGCATTTGCTGTGTTTACAAACTCCACACCAGGATTAAGCAAGACTACCCGAGATGCGCTGTGGCAGGATACGTGGGTGTGCCGCTGAGAAAAAGCCACTCCCTCAAACATCTAGAAGACCATTTCCCTGCCTAATTAAAAAACATTAAGTGACAAAAACTAGTCTGTCCATTTTGTCTAAAGCCCGCTCCATAGGCCAGAAAGGCTTTCTCTTGGAAGACTTCAACAGAAATTCAAATGGTCATTTTACCGTACAGTTCCTAATCCCACCACCTGCCCCAATGCTACCTTGTCTCCGCTCGTATCTGCTCCAGCAACATCCGAATAGGTACATTACTGTCAAAATTCCCTTTACACTTTCGGTTCCTGCATGCCCAGAATCACTACACGTGCCTACAGGCAAGGAGACCCTACAGATCCTATATCGCTCTGATATTATTGTGAAAGGAGACATGCAAGACCGGGAGGTATGAAAAAACAGCATTATTTACTCCACTTGGGCCGCCTCTGTGTGCCTGCACATCACTCCCTCCCCCGCCCGCCTCCGAAGGGGTGCAGGGTCCCCGGCCGCAGTCCGTTCCCGGCAAGAGACGCGGAGCGCGGAGGCGGCCGCAAGAGCGGACCGGAGCCGAGAGACGGCCAC